ATATAAAGAAATTCTTAGAACTTTTATTGAGAGTGAAATACAACACCACCGATTCTACAAAAGATTAGCGTGAGCTAATAATATTGGAAATGCTTTCATAATAAACATAAGATAACTATTTCAAAAGTAAAATTTCTGGTTGCAGGCTTTTATTTATTTTATTTAGTTTAATTGTGTTGATGAATGACTCTTGCCAACTTTGAAATATAAAAAGAAAATAACGATAAAAATATTTAGACTCCGGACTCCCAAGAAGACAATGTTGTAACAATGGCTATAAGAAATCAATTTACCTAAAACTAAAACATGAAATCATTCTACTTTTACAGTTAAGCTATTATAAACAACGTCTATAAAAAATATTTTTATTCAATTTGATATCAAATTTTATTACATTGCAAAATATAATGACACATCGGAGAAAACGGGGCAAGAAGGCAAACGGGGCAAGAAGACAAATGGGGCAAGATAGGTTGGGTGGAAACAAAACTGTATATTTCGCTTATATTTTACCAATTGGTTTTTAAATATTGTTAACGTGATTTTATAGGTACAAGTTTTTTTTACGCTTAAAAAAAAAAAAAATAATACGATTACGGTTATTGATTATAGGCTTTAGGAACTTTTTTTGCTATGCGTGTTTAGTTTGCAATATTTCAGACAGAACAGGTGGTAGTTTCTAAAATTTTATGAACTTGAAAACGCAAGTCAACTTGCCGCAATCGCGTGACTAGATGAAAAATTTATGAGTTTTTAACGTTAAGTTTTTCGACTTGCAAACTGAAAACTTATGTAGGCAATAAATCGTTATGATATAACAAACAAACTGACAAAATATTATTGTTTCATGACGATTTTCAAAACGCTTGCCATATTGCTCTGACTTTCTATAAATCTATTGATATTGACAGTAACAATTTTTGACTATTTAAATGTTAGTATAGTCATAAGTTATGTTTAATACAATAATAATATAAGAAATAAAATAATTAAATTAGTTTAAAAAAAAGTAAAAAAAAATAATGCAATTTGTAATAATATAAGTAATGTTATAATGTAAAAAATATTTTTGTTACTTATTACATAAAATAATAATTCATTTTATATTAGTTTATAAATCTTTATATAATAATTAGCATAGTTTAGCATAATTAAAAAACGCCTTGTTTGCTTTGTTTTAGTTAATTTCTTTTTGATAAATAATTTAAAATTATTTATTATTTATAGTCAGAATAATCATCTTTAATCCTCTTTTTAGCCAACTTAATTACTTTTTATAACACGGGGATTTTACCACAACTATTTTGCATATATAATTTTTATACTACATTCATTAGATATTTTTTAATGTCTATAACACATAAAATACACATAAATACATTTGTGTTAATTGGTTTTTAATATACATTAAGCAATCAGCTTTCTTTAATTTCTGTGATATGCCTTACAAATCGAAATAATAAGTTTTATTAAATTAAATAAAAATATATTAAAAAATATATTTATAAAATATAAACCATTAAGACTAACTGAGCGCAGACGCAGACGGTTGTTAGTCGAGAGGTTTTAAGTTATAAAATAATGATAGCGGTACACGATATACACTATATACACGATATAGGTAAAAAGTAGTCGAAAGGTAAAAAAATATGCATGATCTACGATCTTACATATGATAAGAATGATAACAAAATATATAACTGAATACATTCTGATAGAAATAAAAAATGAGGATTTATATATATTATATATATGAGAGATTTATATATATATATATATATATATATATATATATATATATATATATATATATATATATATATATATATATAAATATAAATTCTCATATATATAATATGTATATATATTATATATATGATAATATTTATATATATTATATATATGAGAGATTTATATATATTATATATATGAGGATTTATATATTATATTATATATATATATATATATATATATATATATATATATATATATATATATATATATATATATATATATATATATATATGTATATATATATATATATATATATATATATGTATATGTATATATAATAACAAGTATATACACGTAATTTCCAATTTAGACATTTAAAAAAAACCTAGACAAAAAACGTTTTAAAGTATAGCTCAAAAGCCATAAGGTGTCATTGCTAATTATTTATGGGTGTTTCAAACCAAAACCTTCAAAATTTTGTGCAATTTACGAAGACTTTTTAAAATAACATTGGAATTCTCTCTGCTAAAACTAAATTAATAATTTGAAAAAAATTGATTGCCTATCATTTTTATAATTTTTGCTGAAGTCATAAAAAATACAAGATGAAAAAAAAGAAAAAATGATTAGAGAAGTTATGTAAAAAATGGAAAAAAAGTTATTCACAACAAAATACACAGCTTATTACAAAAACAATATGTATGGAGACGTCTAACTGTTTGAGACAGTTATTACTATTTATGTCGTGCTCACGTTATGTAAATCTCTCTCTGAGAGATTATACCTTCATTGTTAAAAAAGTTATTGTTAGATCAAAAAAAGTCTAATTTAAAAAAAAATTTGTCTAATTTAAAATTGTCTGATTTAAAAAAAAACTTTTTATTATTATTATTTTTATTGAGTCTATTAATTTTCTTTGTTCAAGAAACTACTTTCAAAATAAGTTTTTAAAGGTTAATTATTTATAAAAATATTATTTTAAAATCTATTGTCTTAGTTGTCATTAAACCTAAACTATGAAATTATAATGTTTCCGCAGGTCCAGGGGTTGTCCCATTTTTTTTAAATATATTTTAGTAATTGAGAGTTGGAGCTATATAGAGTTTATAACTCCCTCATTTTAAGGAGGTTAGAAACTTTGCAAAGTCATCATTTGTGAACGCAAAGTTTTTTTAGATGAAATTTGAAATGTGATGATAAGAAACAAATTTAGTTCAGAATAGTAAATAAAAACTTAGTAAATTTGCATTAGCAGCTAGAGGCATAAGCACAAGTTTTGTGGTTTATTTGTTCTTAAACTCACCATATATATATATATATATATATATATATATATATATATATATATATATATATATATATATATATATATATATATATATATATATATATATATATATATATATATATATATATATATATATATATATATATATATATATAAAATACATACGCATATTTTTTTTCTCAAAGCATCTTCGTTTGATGTACACACAAGTTTATAATTTGTTTCATTTTTGAAAGAATCTCAATCCACGGAAAAAAACACGCAATTTCTGAACTTTTTTATGGACCAAAAAAATACGCCAACATTTTAAAAAAGATAATGAGAAGTCATGATTATTTTAATAACAATAATAAAATAATTGCTTTAATTCAATAACTCAAAAATGAAAAGAATTTAAAAATTATTACAGCCATTGTACTTTCAAATTTTTTTTAGTATTAATAAAGTTTAGCACATCAGTAATCAGTAGTTTGACTGACGATATAAATTTGTTGACTGACGATATAAATTTGTAAAAAATTTGATACGTATAGCCTTAAAAAAAAATTAACATTTTTTCAGAAAACTAAAAACAGATTGTTTTTAAAAGAAAAATTTTAATTTCATTGAATTATTTTGTGAGGATTTTTTATTTTACATATTTTATAAATATTTAAGTATTTTATAATTATTTATATGTTTTATAAATATTTAAAAGAAAAAAAATTACAATGTTTTTTTAATGAAATTTATTTTTACCATAATTCATTTATTGAATAAACTATTTGTTGAATAAATTATTCGTTTCAATAAAGAAATTAGCACGAAAATCTAGTAAAAAACTAAATAATGAAGTAATTACATATAAATATTATAATATTATATTAATGTTTGTAACGTTTGTTAAATTTTCTTGGTAATCACGTTCCCTAATATTTTTTTTTTAATTCAAAAAAAAAAAAATTAATAATCAAATCACACATTTAATTAATAATTAACTCACTCAAAATAAAGTTACCCGGCGTATTTTTGGGAAATAAAGTTCCCTGGAGCAATTGCAAAAAAAACTATTATTTACTCATCATTATCTCAAATATAAGGACTTTATGAAAAGATTGTGGTGATTTTCGTATATTCTTTGACCCTGTCTGATTTTTTTTGTGAAACTCTCTTTGAAATTTCTTATTATGTGCAAAATATTAAAAAAAAAAATAATTTTTTTGTTGTTAACACGATCTCTTTACAATAAATAAGCAATGTATCAGATAGGACGTCTTAGGGTTCGATCTAGAGATCATGGGCGCTCTGCTATTGCCGCTACCACAGTATCGCTACCTCTGTACCGTTATCACAGTTTGCTACCACAGTACTGCTACAGCTACATTAGTTGTAACTATATTCGCTTTGGTTATTTAAAAAAAAAGTTTAATAAATAAAAATAAATTTTTTAAAAAATATCCCAACAAACAGTCTCATAATAACTGCATTTTTTACGTTTTAATGCGATAACATAATAACGTAATACAAAAACATTATGTACAGTGTTTGTTTTATGTTATAGTGTTCATATAGATTATAGTATCATATAGCTTATCATACTATATGCGACCAGGCCCAAGGGATCAGTATTTTAATAAATAATTTTTATGCAGATAATTACGAGTTGTAAAATAACATTCTTATACTGTTATAGTGTGTGTTTGAGTAAAAGTTGTTTATCATAAAAAATAAAGACATCAATATTGACTTTTTAATCAGGGAAAATTTAAAAGATTGATGATTGCTCACAATAATTATAATCCAAAATATAAGGATTAATGAAGTCTAAAAATTATCTGAAATCCTAGACTGCTGAATGAAGTAACAAGAAACAATGAAAAATAAAGAAAACGCTCATACAAACCTTGATTGGCAGCTAAGACAGCTAAAAAAATATCAATTAAATAGTTTCAAAATGGCAGTATTTTGAAAGGTAAAACAATTTGTTATAGACATGTGACGTAAAATGGCATTTTGCAAAAATGATTTGCACGCAAGTAAATACATTTTTTGTATGAAAAAAGCTGACTTTAGTAAATGAATTGTTTTAATTTTTGGGCCGATTCATAAAACAATTGTCATAAAGGTGTCACATGATTGAAGTTTAAAAATTCAAAATTTAAAACAGAACATTCATGACCTTTAAGTTGAGCAGAGTAACAACGTATAGAATTAAAATAACTGATCAATATTAACGCCCAAAGAGGTCAATATCAATGGAAGACGTTATAACGGTTGCAGATGCTGTAAGTTTTTAAAGGTTTATCTTTACTAATAGACTTATTTACTTATAAACTTTCTTGACTTTATGCTACATTTTGCTACATTGTGCTACATTCTGGTTTTTTATTTGCAGACTTATTGTAGTTTTATTTACTTGAGTTAATACTAAGTTGAAATTAGGGGTTTTTTATATTCTCTTTTTTAGATTGCTTTTCAAAAGTTTTAACCAAAGTTTAATAGTTTAAAAATTAAATCAAAAATTAATCAATTCGTTTTGACTATTTTACAAAAAACTTATTAAAAAATCGACTCATATCACAGTTTTACATATTTAGCGCAGTTTTGCAAATAACCACTCCTTTATTCATTCCTCCTTATTTATTTACAGCGAAACATAGCTTTTTGGACATTTTTTGCTATTTTTATTGGTTGCCATAGCAACGAGTTACCATTTTACATATATCTTTTTTATTTCTAATGTCGTCTAATATTTACTGTTTGGATTAAGAAAAGTTAGTTTATATGCGTTGTTTTAAAATTTGAGGGTTGCTCCTTAATAAAGAAAATGAAATAAGTTAAATAATAAATTTTATAATTATTGTTTTTTTTACTAATATAATTTTTTAACTTTATTTCTACTATTTTAATAATAAAAAAATTGATAGTTTATTAAAACTAAAACTACTAAAAAAAATTTTAAAGTACATTAAAAGTTTCATTTTTTGCAAAATCACACTTCCCCCGCATCTGAAAAGCAAAAAATTTTGAGAGGATTATTAAAATGTGTACAAAAATCTGCTGCAAGAAAAAAAATCTTTTTTTTTAATCTAAAATAAACATATATTTGAATTTCTAAATATGCAGCGACAGATTAGTTTTGGAATATGGCACTCTGCCTGACAAAACAAGGTTTTGACATCTTAATTAAACGCGTGAAATTGTCCAAATCGGCACACAAAAAAACATTCTTTTTTTGTGTGCAGTTTACACAAAACTGCACATAACAGATTTTTTTTACTTCAGTATTATATTATTTTGTCGAAGTGTCGCAATTTTTATTGTTGTTAATCGTATTAACAATGAAGATATTAAAAGATATCTCAAATGAAAATATTAAAAGATATCTCTGATAATTGTTATCAAACTGTAACAGCTATATTACCTAGATTAATTATCGGAAAACATCCGGCATGTTTATGTGATATGTGTGAGTGTTTTTTACAGTCGTAATACCATAGGAGACAATAGATCTTATCGTTACCGACATATTTATTTTAATTTTGATTGCAAAAAAAAAATCTATATATAAAAAAAGTAAAAAATTAAACAATAGATTAGATAATTTTTCAATTTCACAAACAAATTTTATACACAAAACGATAATAAAAATGAACTTTTTTGCAATTTTTAAAAGTATTAGAAATATCGTAGGGGGATTTTTTAATAGTATTATTTGAATTAAAAATATGGAAGTTATAACTATTGGAGTTTATAACTATCATTTAATTATTTATTGTTTTTATTTAGCTTATAAACCCCGTTACTTTACAATTAGAAAACTTTATTACTCAAAGTGATAAAAAAAATGAATGGAACTCAATATTGAAAGTTAAAAATGGAGAAAAAAAAACTTGCGTAATTGATTGTGGAGTTTGTGGAGATAAAAGTTCTGGAAAACATTACGGAGTTAACACTTGTGAAGGTACATTTCTTATTCTTAACTTCTCTAAACTAATTTCATTGGGTTGAATTCTTAAATTTATGTTTTATTTTTAAAATGATAAATACTTTAATAACCTACTAAAATAGGTTGCAAAAGTTTTTTCAAGCGAAGCGTTAGAAGAAACTTACAATACACCTGCAGAGCAAAAAGAAACTGTTCAATAGATCAACACCATCGCAATCAATGTCAGCATTGTCGGCTTAAAAAATGTCTAAAGGCTGGAATGCGTAAAGATGGTATGTAATTTGCCTTTTTTTGTAATATGTCGATAATAATTTACTTGAATATTTTATTTTTGTAAAACGACTGTTATCATTGTCCACACGTTGGTTCGCTTAGGTTTTTTATTTAAGTATATTATTTTTAATTCAGAATAATAAGTATTATATACAAAATACCATTATTATATTATTTATATAAATATTATATAAATAATATTTATATAAATAAAATAGTATACTTAAACAAAATTATTAGCTAAGGTGTAATTTTGTCATGTATTCTAATTTCACCAAAAATCTTTTAAAAATAAATTTATAACAACTATAGCATTTTTTTACTCATTCTATTTTTAGTATAAATTAAATTTAGTCACAGTATAAATTAAAAATTTAAATTCAAAAATATTTTATTTAAAGCTGTACAGCGTGGCAGGCTAAATAGTCAACAAGGAGCTGCACAGGTTTTTGAAGATGCAACAGTTAATAACTTTTCATTTTTATCTGGGTTTGTTACTTTGTTACTAAGAGCCGAACCTTGTCCAATATTTCGTTATTCACAAGGAGTGTCAAACAACCCCCAATTTGATTTTATCGATATCGACAACTATGAGTTAGCAGCTCGCCTTCTTTTTAATGCTGTTGAATGGTCTCGCAACATACCGTTTTTCCCAAATCTTTCATTAACCGATCAAATAGCCTTACTTCGGTTATGTTGGAAAGAGTTGTTTATTCTTAACGTGGCGCAATGTCCAATGCTAATAGATGTATCTCACTTGTTAAACTCTCAAATGAATATTTATGCATCTCCTGAGCACATGGCATCTTTTTTAGACCAAGTCCGGATATTAAAAGAACAACTTAATAAACTGAGGGCAATGCACGTGGATCCAGCTGAATTCGCATGTTTAAAAGCAATAGTTGTATTTTCTTCAGGTAACATTATTTGTTATATTAAATAATGCGGGTATAGTACTAAACATGCAATAATATAATATTTTATTAAATAACATTTAATTTTTATTGCTTTTTAGATGCACCCGGTTTGAACGATCCTCAATACATAGAAACTTTACAAGAGAAAACTTATTTTGCACTTGAAGACTATATAAAAACTCAATACCCCTTGCAACCAACTCGTTTTGGAAAGTTATTGCTTCGATTTCCCTCAATACGAATAATAAGCGCAACAGTGATTGAGCAACTATTTTTTGTGAGATTGGTTGGAAAAACTCCAATTGAAACATTAATACGAGATATTCTTATTTCTGGTACATCATATGATTGGCCCACTTTAAACTACTCTGAAAGAACTTAAAAATTTATACAAATTAGGACAAAAATTATATAACTAGTTTGAAGTATCTAGTGGAAAAAATGCAACCAAACGTTTAGGGATGTCTTGTCTTGTAGATATACAAATTCATTAATAGAATATTATCGTTGTAAATAACAAATACATGTAAATATATGTGTGTAAATAATTTTTTAAATAGTAAGTATTTTATATTTAAGTTTATTTGTTTCAACTAAAATCAAGTCATATAAAGTCATATCAAATTTGCACCAGTTTGCGGAGCAAGTATTATTTATTGACTTCAAAATATAATAGGTTGCGGTTTGAAAAAAATTACAACTTTCAACAAATAAAATATATAAAATAGATATAAGTTAAGTAAAAATATTAAATAAAAAAATTGAAAAGAAGTAAAAATATAAAAAAAATACAAAAATATAAATGGAATGAAATATTTAAGATATACTTGTAAGGAGTGCGCGAAATATGATAGTTTTATGTTTTTATGGTGGACAATGAAAAGTGGTTTAAGGTTGGAAGTGTTAAAGAGTTGAAGACTTCATAAAATTAAAACTTTTAATTTATATTTTGAAAGTCATAGCAAAATTTTCTTATTTGACTTTTTATCAAGTTTTATTTAAGTTTTCTTCTTTAAGTTTTTTATATTAAGTTCCTGGTTAATTTTGTGCGTTTGGATCGTAATACATAGTAACAAAGTGCGTATAACGCATTTTGGTTGTCCGCATAAAAATTACATATTTATAACAAAAATTTGCATAAAAATGTACATATTTATACTATATATTAATCTAATAACTTAGTATATAATAATCCACTTACTCGCCAGCCACTTTGACCGCTAGAAATGACTAAAATTAAGGTGAGAATTTATTGCGTCTTTTGTATACAACACATCATGCATAAATTGCAGTGCAAATTTTATTTGACAAACAAGTTGATAAATTTTTTGTTGCAGAATTTTTTGCTGGAGATTAGATTAAAACCAGGGCATAGCCGCAATAAGGCGCCCCTATAAGCATGCACATTTTAAAATTAAAAGCATATACAATTATACAGTTGATGATTTTTTATTTATTTCTAATACTGGTAATTTACATCCATATTTTCAAGAACCGCATCTGGATAATATAACACTTATCCAACACATTCACTGATTAGGATTAATAAACAAATTCTATGAAATTATTATTGAAAACACTATTTTCTTGCTTTTTTACTCGCTAAAATCATTATTATTTTATTTCATCTTGCGACAGAGTTTTATCTCAGATAGACGTTCTTCTTCTATAGTGACCATACAATAATTTTTTAAAATCAATTTTAGTTTACTTAAAGGTCGTTCACATTCTTCGACATCATACAAAATGCACAACTGGTACAGTTTTTTTTATAGCTAGAGAGCTCCGACACTGAAATGGCTTCTTGAGATAAGCATTCGATTGCCAAATCAAGCTGCTGCTTGTACTTGTACTTTAAGTTTTTAGAAATCTACTCCTAGGTCTCTCTTAATGCATGTTGGAACTAGATTGGGTCCGTTACCGTCAATGTCAATCATGGTATTATTAATAGGGAGTTTTGTCACGTGAGATTTTATCGCAGAAAAAAATATTTCGTTTGTTTTTAAAAAACTTCGGCCAAAAAACGCAAAAATGATTTTATGTAAGTGTCGAAGAATAAAAACCCATCCATGAAAATTAATAATATTTACGTATATATAGATGTTATTTTTTTTTTAGAAAAAGATGTACAACAATAGTTTGATTGGGGACGACGTTTTGCTAAAGTTATTTAATTTTAAATGTTTCAGTTTTGTTTTAATAAAAGTAAATTAAGATAATTCTTTCGTCCCCACATAAAAATAGATTCTGCAACTATTAATTTAATTAGTGAATAAGTTTTGGTATCCTTTTTTTTGTAGTTAGTAATAGGGTGGTTTTTTTGCTTTCTGAGTGGAAGTTTTTAAAATTTTCCCCGTCTTTATATATTTTTGAGTGCAATCAAAACTTGATAAAGTAAATTTGCCGATTTACATCTAAAGCATCTTTAGTTTTTTTCACACATTTTCACACATGAATTTTATTTTTATCTACCTGAAATTTTATTACAAATTTTTACTTGTAGCATTCTAAAGTGGGTTTATTTTTTATGTTGATAATGTTTTTGCTGCTAACCTATTAATAATTTAATTGGTTAGCAACAACAACATTGAATAACAGTCTTATTTATAACTTACAAATTACATTATATATAAACGGTGTATACGAATACTACACCGGACCACACCGAATTCCACCGGACCACACCGGAATATAAAAAACAATTTTGCTACAGCGAAACATACGTAAGTTATATTTGTGATACATATATACAATAAAAATTAAAAAAAAAAAAAAAGGGCTGTGATTCATGCTTCGACTGACTAAAATAGGGACAGGCGCAGTAGAGTATGCTTACATCGACTGAATAAAATAGGGACAGACGCAGTGGAGTGTCTACACATTGACTGACTAAAATAGGTACAGGCGCAGTGGAGTGTACACGCAGGTGCAAAAGGTTTTTGGTTAGGGCAAGCTGTCTAAAAAATAACTTATTAATTTCGTAAAAAAGCCTACCGCTCTGCTTAAATCAAAACACATATTTATGAAAATTAATTCTTTTTTCAAAAAAATCAATAACACTAATAGGTATGGTGGTTTATCCTCCTCCAGCTAATTGCCATACGGAGGCCACATTACTAAGGACCGCAAAGACAAGTTCAGCTGATAAATAGCGTCATTACCTGCTCTACGGACCAAGAGTAAAGTGAGTTTTGGAAGAACGAAGAATGTTAGAGTAAAAGACAGAAGATGTCGTGTTAGAAAGATAGCATACAGAAAGCGGACAGGATTGCACTCGATGTTAGAAGGTGCACTATGTTACTATACACATAATTGGCTTAAGCCAATTAATGTATGCAATATATACATATATATTATATTAATTAATGTAAGCAATATATACATATACATATGTATATCAATAACATTATATAACATATCAATAACATTAATATGTGATAGGTGAGCGCGCGCGTGAACGAATTACACGAACGCGATAAAATTCTGACTAAAATACATATTTTTACTTGTGAGTGCACAATTAAAATTGTTATAAAAATTTAAATTATTCAAAAATTTTATTTTTTTGTGTGTGTGTGTGTAAATTTTTATTGCATTTATATATTATGAATGTAACTTATGCATATTTCGCTCTACTAAAATTGTTTTTTACACTCCAGGGTAATTTGGTGTTGGTCCGGTGTGGTCCGGTGCAGTATTTGTATACACCCTATATGGGTGTATACGCCCATTATTCGTATACACCCTATATATATATATATATATATATATATATATATATATATATATATATATATATATATATATATATATATATATATATATATATATATATATATATATATATATATATATATATAGTTTTAAAGTAATCATTTAATTCAAATATATAAATTGAAAGTAATCATTTAATCATTAATAAAATATTTAACTAATTTAAATTAATTTCAAAGTTTTTTACTTATTTTATATTATATTATATATATTATTTAAATATCATATATATTAAATTTGTATAACTTTATATATTTGTTCAAATGATGACTGAATTTCGACTAAATCGACTAAAAGTCTACTGTAAGTCGAGAGTCGATTGTAGATTTCCTACTAACCAACAAAAAGTCAATTTAGTCTATAAAAATCTTAATCTATTGTCAAGAGGCTCGTCTTTAGGTCATCCTGGCCCCCCCAGCGAAATAACGGTTGCTATCCAGACCAACCCCCCTCCCCGAAAAAATTAGTATCCGTTTTTCAAGTCAATTTTTGTATATGCTAATAAATTGCTAATTAAAAATACTGCGTTGTCCAAAAACAAACAAGTAAATGCTAGCGCTGAAAAGCATTTTTTTTGTCTGCTATTAGAACTGCAATTTCCTTTTTATCAATACCCTTTTTGAAGTTTAAAAAAGACTTTTCTCCGTTACAATTTGTAGCAGCAGCAGAGAAAAACATCCTTAGAACAATATTGACGTTTGAGACTGGATTTAAGTTTCTTTGATTAAATAACCAAAAGTAATTTGAGATGATTTATTTTTTTGGATTCACTAATATTAGTTTCAACTGAATTGGGAACAAAGTTCTTGTAATGCAGTTTATTATTCAGAATATAAATGTCCGCATCGTTTAGATAAATTTAAAAAAGTTCTTTAGCGCATTTTATCTAAATAACGGACAAAGAATCCAAAACAAGAGAAGCATAAGCTTGTCTTTACCTTTCAATCTCAGTTACAAGTTGATCCATGGTGACCTGAAATTATAACCTCATTTTTCCTTTCCTAATAAAGTCTGATACCTCAATAGACGTCAATTCGTCATATTTCCGTTTACGGGCTCAACAGAGCAGTGACGGATCTATGGGGATAGGGTATGTTCATTCTGGATCCGTCACATAGTTTATAAATTCAAAATAGTCACATAGTTTATAAATTCATAATTTATAAATTCAAAAGGTTTATAAATGTAAAACAAATAAAGGAAAACTACATCAAAAGTCTTTTTTATTTGTATTCATATACTTTTGGATACATTACAGTTTTGTGTATATATATTTATTTTTATGTCTATGTATATTTATGTATATTTATTTTTTGAGTATATATAAACTTAATAATTACGTTTTGTAACTTAAAGTTTATTAATAAATCTATATAAAAATGTTTAAAAAAGAGTTATGACTTTTTAAATTTTTGTAAAATAATTAATTTCATGTGTCATAAATCAATAAAACTTATTTTCGATACATTTACTCAAATGTATCGAAAATAAGTTTTATTCTAATTAATTTTCAAAAAAAAGTAACTTACAACACGAAATTTTTAAAATAGTATTTGCATTATGACTTTCTGAAGCCTAAAACTTTCTTGAACCTTATGAAAGTTTCTAAATTTTTCTGGACTGTTCTAGATGTTTTGAAACTTTCCAGAATTTTCTGTTTTTAATTTGTTGAAAGCATTTGGTTACTAATTAAAAAATTCATGTTTCGATTATAACTAAGTCATTCTAAATTAAAATAAAATTGGTACAAAACAGGATAATAGAAACCATACAACTGATTAACA